GATGGAGAAGGGACCCCTTTCCATATGAATGCATTCTGGGAGCTGCTACTTCCTAGTCCAATGTGTTGTGTCATAGCTGTTTTCTGTCGAGTTTTCTAAACAGTCTGAACTCTTTTTGGGTCTTACTCATCCTGTCATAAAAGCACAGCCAGACAATTATGGTAATAGGATACCTGCATTAGATGTGCAGTGGCATAGCAAATTACTGTGAAATATCCAGGAAAAACCCGTATTTTTTGGAGAAAGGGTAAGTTGAAGTTGCCCTTGCCATTTGCCAACTCTTATGATCAAAGTCAGTTGCAACCAAAGAGTCTTTATTGCATTCAATCCTGGAAGAATTCCATTACATATGCAAAGTACATGTGGGAAATGTGTATACGTATTGGCATGCTCTACTTATGAACCATCCATATCATAGCTGCATAGATTAGTACTAACAAGGAAAATGCAAGTCCATCATATATACACAATATGGCTGTGACACATAATATAAAATGACGGCATAACCCGATCTTATTATCATGTCTGCCTTGCACGACGTCGCCACGCCGCAAATTTGCCTCAGGATCGCGGGCAGGAGCGGCGGTTCCTCAACCGCCGCGCGCGTGCGGGCGCGTGCAGCGTTTCTCGTGTCGCTGCGCATCCATCCCTTTGCAATGTTGCGTTGCTTGTCCAGGCCTCAGCGATAAGGGGAGCAGACCGCCGTCCCTTGCGGAGTGGACGGCGGATGGCAATGCGCGGGCCCCAGCACGTTTTTGTGCTTGTCCTTTCTTCAGGTTTCCGTTGCATGCACGTCCTGCCCATCGCATTCGTCACTCAGGCAGCGTTCCGGTACAGACCCAACTATCTGACCAACAAGGCGTGGGGCCGAGTAATTAATTACTTCCAAAATCCTCCAAAACTCTCCTTATATGCACGATGTTTCTTCGTCTTCTTCTTACTGCTGCCGAGGAACGCAACCGGAAGGCCCATGCAAAGAACGGCAACACCGCTGCCGCTGCGTTGCGCGGTCCCCAGGGCACCCTCTTCAAGATGAATAAAATAAGGGGGTCGGCTATAAAGTCCTTACCGCCGTGATGAGGCGCTTAAGTGACAACATTCTGTTGGTTTCATGTCCTTGCCCGCCTTGCCCAATACCCTGCAAACAGTGCATGCTTATCGTATGTGGACCGTGCGCCGCCCGTCAGGAGGGAAAGGGGGCTGTGTTCCTCGGCTCGGCGGCCAGTCGTAAGTTTTACGACTTCTTCTGCGGCCTTTCCAAGGAGGCGATTTTCCCTGATGCCCTTGGCATAGTAGCACTTCACCAGCAAAAAGTATCTATTATCCTTGTCGTTAGTTGCTTCTGCCAAGCTTTTGCTACAGGCGAGCCGGAAGACACCGCAATTCCAGCCCCCGATGCTGCTGCGGCCCTTGTAGGCGCGCCGTTCATTCAAGCATCTGTGCACCATTGAATCATTCACGGCTTCAAATGCAACAACCTTCTTGATGGCGCATGTTTTCTGTCCAACTGTCTCCCTGTTGCAGATGATGCTGCCGCGAAGGACGCTGAAGCCGAAGGCGCGTGTTTCTGTTATAACCACGGTTTTATCCCGTGTTTGCATCCGTTTTCTTCCCTTCCCGTTTCGCCGCCGAAGGAAACACACATGCATGCATGCATGCACGGGTCAAGTGCCATCTTTCACGATGAGCCCTTCATGGCGGACGCCGTCCAGGAGCAGCATCACTGCGCCAAGCGCCGACGCTGCAGACGCAAGCAAGAGGCGCGGCCACCTCCACGCTGCAGCAGTCGCTTATACTTGTCATATGCACATCCTACTAGACATGTCTAAGTCTACGTGACCGGGGTCAATCGTGCTTGCCGCAGGACAATCAAGAGCGACTGCTTCTATCCGGGTGCTTCGCCATCCCGGTGGCCGCTCTTGACTCCTCGCGTCTGGCGCGCGAGCTGGGAGTCACGCTCTACACCGTGGATTGCGGTATGCGAGGACCGACGTCATAGAGTTATAGGTTTAGATCAATTTGGCCATTTGACCTACCGGCTTCTCCGCATTCCCCCGCAGGGCACCGTGTCTGCAGGAGACAAACCCGCGACCCTCTTCTGCTGGCACGAGAGCGTGCACTTCCCGCGGCGCTTGGAGGCAGTCAGTGGGCGCGAGGACTGTATATGACTGTGTAAAACTGTATTCTGGCGGTGCCTCCTGTATTGCGACAGGGAGAAACATGGAACACATCTGCTGGAAGTTCGCAGATGGGTGGCTCAACCACCAACTGCACAAACTAACAAGTTCGACAATGGCTATTACTGTTCCATACCATTCCCCTCAAAAAGGATTCATGGCCATTTCCACCATTTCATCTTGTGGTTTAAGTATTGTTTGTTGTCCATCTCTATTTGGAATAGTGGGCGTTAAGTGACTTTCTCTGGCACTTGTTTTACATGGTAAATCATGGTAATGGACAACTTATGGCCATAGGAAAAGCAAGGGAGCGCCGCCTTGAGGCGGGTGTTTACAGTGCAATTTGGTTGTATGACATGCATTATTCATCCCATCAAGAAGGCATTGGTTGGAAAAAACTTTGTTGCGCGTCATCTTCGGATTTAACAGAAGCTGTATATATACATACACCTATACCGTAGAAGTGTGGATAGTGTTGATACACATATAATACTGAACATATATTGTGAAGATGTTTAGAAATAAATAAACATCTGAATATGTACAATATATATACATGTACATATAAAATCACCCCCTGTTGGTATAGTTGTTGATGTCATTGAGTTCATCACGTTCACACATGTACATATGTGTACATCTATACATATATATATATATGTAGATCTAAAAGTCGTCCAGCTAAGCACCCCCCGGGAAATGTGAACGAGCATCTTCCAACGTAGATGTGCTGCTCCGCAACAAGCTACATGAAGCCAAGCCTGGGGACGGTGTACCTTAAAACAACTGTACTAAGAGATTGTTCATGAGATTTGTCCCTTTGATCTTGGGATTTGTCCTTTATTTAGCTGTTCTTTTTTTTGGGCACTGGCCGAATGGCTCTGTTGTTTCAGCACATGTAAATTATTTATTCCAGGGGTTCACATTAACTACATGTCCCGTCCAATGGATCGACCTGGGTTAACTGCCCGCATAGTGGCGACTGACAAAGAAAAAACTTAAGTGTTCTTTGTTTCTGCTTCTTACTAACCTAAGAAGGTATAGACTCAGGCCCCAGGTTGTTTTGGAGGATTATGGTTGCTATGCCATTTTGCTTTCTGGAACTGCAAAATTTAACCATGCCTCCGCGGCGTCACAGAAGCTTGCTGCGGCACCAACGGGAAAGTCTTTCAAGTTGCAGTGCTTTGGCGTCAAGTATGACTACCGGGATTTGCCAACATCGATTACACCATGGACTGCACCCAGTTTCTGGAAATGACATTTGCCCATGTGGGCCACTACGACGGTCTGCTGGAGACCTTCATCAAAAATGATGCATTCCCACCTTTGATCCAAGACATTTTGAAGTTTGTCAAGAATCATGCAAAGGAAGGCTGCAGCACAATTGGTGTCTTCTCGGATTGCGGGAGGCACAGGTCGGTTGCTGTTGCCTGGTGTGTCCAGTTGCTGTTACAGCACATGGGGTTTCCATGCGAGACTGAATTTTTTGAAAAGAAGCGAGGTCACTGGCTCGGACTGTGCCACTCTTGTGACAAGTGCTCACTTCAGAGCCCCTTCAAAGAAAGGATAGCACAATGACTGCCAGAATGGTTCAAACACGACCGGCAATGAAAAAAAGGAGCTGAAAGTTGAAGCGACTTTCCGAGGTGGCTAGCCCCTCGTCAGCTTGCAGTTTTTGACAAGTTTGGACATCACTCACCACGGACAACTTCTGGACTCCATGAAGTCACACACCGTGCTTGATCATTTTTATTTGTCACCAGCAAAAACTATACAATAGTCTTCCGCGTCGAACGCGTAGCGGCTGAATTTTAACCGTGGGGCGGCGGGCGGAAGTTTCAAAAAATAGGAACCCACACGGAAGATTGTAAGCAAACGATGAGCTGAACCGTGCCTACAGGATGGTAACCAGCCAAGTTGTGCCTTCAGAATGACTGTGAAGCACCTGCCCCAATGAAAATAAGAAATTCAAATTGAAGACACTAAAGGAGCCAGCCATGGCAAATTTAAGAGCAAAATCCCACGAACAAAGGGACAAATGCTACGAACAATCTTTACTATACATACAGGATTCCATGTTAATGATTGATTGCAATGATCATAAGAGGGATTAAGAGGGTAAAACCACCAACAGAGATGGTAGTTATTTTCTATCCTCAAAAGTGGCATGACGATCCAATTGCCTAAACAATAGTTTTTCAAGTGGTTTATGCAGCAAAAAACACCAGCCGAATCTGTTGGTATGTTGTGCAATGTCATGTCATGTAATCTTGTCTTACCTGACCTTACCTTACCTTATTTTACCTCATGTAAATTGATGTAATGTTATGTTTTGGTTTGGATTGTTATGTAGTTGTGTAATGTTATGTACTGTATTTATCTTATGTTATGCTGCATTATGTTATGATATGTTGTATTTTGCTATGTTGTAATGTATATTTGTGTATGTGATGTTGTTTCTTCCACATGTATATATATACACATTTATGTAATGTATATATATATATATAAATACATGCATAATTGTAAATATATATATATACTGTATATGTATTTACATATATATACATTAATACATATAAATATATATATATATGTGTAATGTAATGTGATGTGATGTGATGTGATGTAACGTAACGTAAGGTAAGGTTATGCAATGTAATGTAATGTAATGTAATGTCATGTAATGTCATGTATGTATATGTATAAATCTAAATAATATATATATATATATATATATACACATACATGTATATGCATATGTAAAAAAAACATATATACTTTTGGCGGGGAACCTTCAATCTTCGCTTTTTGGCCGCTCAGACCCCTTCCTACCGAGCGGATTGTGGCACCTTCACCCGTCAAGCTCGGCACATTGTGGCACCACAGGTGGACGTCAAGCGTCGTCCAAAACGGTGATTGAATCACTAAAAATGGGGATTTCACGGGAGATTGATATAGATAGATGGGATAAGCTCTAGGATTTTTTCAGAGTTTGCCATTGAAACCATGTCCCATCTGATTCATCTGGTAGCCAAGTTTTGCATGGAACCGCAATGGCCAGATCCAGACATCTTGCAGACTGTTCCATGTCAAATTTATGGGGTGTAAAATCGGAACAACTTGGGATGTGGGGGCATGTTAGACATGATTCATGAAGACAATCACTGAAAGAGCATTGTATTTGACTGGAGGCACCCTGGTTTCGTAGTGGATCTATTCTTATTTATATTGGGGTGATTATTGGTGATTTGACGGGGATTTGATGGGGGATTCGGTGGTCAATGGGGAAGTGGCATGGGTTTAATCGGGATTTTTATGCGTTTGAACACAAAAGTATAGGACACCAACCAGATTTGTAAACTGTATTCTCCCCTCAAAAAACAGATGTTTCTCCATATTTATGTATCTCAACGTTAGTTACTCCCCAAAAGAACATGAAACTCCATCATGTCATCGGTTATATGTTGCTGGAGATTCCACCTGCTGTTGATGATCATCACGTGCACCAATAATTTTCAGACACACCGGAAGAAATTCGAGAAATTGAGATTATATGTTCAGTATATCATTGGTATATATCATAGAATTGTACCATTGTATGATCATTATCTCCCAGTACATCCCATTCTCAAGGAGGGCTGGGTGTCATATTTCCCAGTCAATCCCATGAAATGGCTGGTTTCCACTGCAAAACTCCATGAGTCAAACCATGTCAAAGCCACCAAAAACCCAAAGGTGTGCCCCCCACTTTCTAAGTTGGTTTATAAACAAACTTTACTATAGTTAGTTCGATCCCCTATAAACATCTATAAACCATCGTTAGCCTACATAGTTATACTGGTTGGTGGTTTGGAACATGACTTTTATTTCTCCATTCAGTTGGGAATTTCATCATCCCAACTGACCAACTTCATCATTTTTCAGAGTATGTATACCACCAACCAGTATAGTTCGATCCCCTATAAACATCTATAAACCATAGTTAGCCTACATAGTTCTAAGTGAACCCAAGAGTTGATATATCCCGTAGCCAAGCAACGGCACGTTTTAGTCGACGGCAACCGACCGTGTTTGATACGCACCGCAGCAGGTGGGTCTGAATGCCATGGTGTCCGCCCTGGGCGGCCTAAAGGCTCCATGGGTCCATGCCTCAGAGTGGAGAAAACCCGGGAATGGTTGGAAAAAAACCTAAACAACGTGTGTATATATATAATTATATATACAACACATATGTATATATATAGGTCTATATATGTATATATTTATATATGTATATATATATATATACATGTATAAATGTATGACACCCCGGGATTTATTGGAGAAATACAGACATTTACATCTTATTGTTAGAAAGAACCAGTGCATGAATCTCCCAGATTTATCATCAAAGCCGGGATGAGTTCCCTGAGAGCGCAGTTCACTAATCAGAAGTGGGTTATATTTCGCCATAGTTGGTAAAGGCCCCATATCCCAACTTCTGGAGGTTAGAATCCTGTATAAAAATCCCATAAGACGAACCCGCGGCCTGCACCCTCAATCATAGTTATTCCCAAAGGAATTCCCATAGTCATCAAAAATACCATGCTTATACCCATGATCTACCATAGTGATACCCTCAAGTCCTTATCTTTTTTTTTGGAGAGTCTTCTTGGCACCCCCCGTTTTTGGATGCTCAGGAGGTGTCAGCCACGCAGAAGTTTACACCGCGACTGAGCCATCCACCAGAGACCCACAGGTGGGGCTTGGCCAATTTTGGGATATGAAATAGCAACCCCCATAGAGATAGAAAGGTTATAGCTATAGAAGGTAAATGCTAATTCATCACTGGGATTTACTTTTCTATCTTTTTGTTTTTTTTGGGGCAGGTTAATTAACATGGTTTAACCCAGAATTTTGATGAGTGGCCGTTAGCTTTTGCGGGATTGTTAACATATTCCTTGTTTTCACTGGGGCACATATGGTTTTGCCCAAGACCGGGGAATGGGTCTCCAGTTTATGATAATTCATGGCCATTTTGTAAAATGAACAAATGGCAACAGGTAATCAAACATGGCAATGTGAATTTCCATTTATAGATCAGTTTCCAATTAAAACCTCCATTTATATATAGGGGATTTCCTACTTCGACATTTGATTTCCAGAAGGGGAAATATAAATCTGGTTGGTGGTTTCAAAGATTTTAAATTTTCCATGTCATATATGTTTTTTTTCCTTCCCATTGACGAACTCATATTTTTTCAAGATGGTTTTTGCACCACCAACCAGTAAATATATAGTACTATTGAAAATGGCCATTGATAGTTGATTTTCCCATTAAAAATGGTGATTTTTCCATAGCAAACTGTTAGTTTACCAGAGGGTAGTACTGTGCAGGAAATAGACTGATGATATCATCAAACATAACCACTTGACAATGAGAATTTTTGGGATCCACGGATCTAGAAATTGAGCATCTGCAAGTAGAACAAAAACAGTTGGGAACTATGTAACAAAAATTACTTTACTTCGAGTTATCCCCACCATGACATTTATACGTTTTGTTACTGGCAAATCTTCTGGCATTCCATCTGACATATCTTCTGGCATTTTATCTGGCATTTTATCTGGCATATCTTCTGGCATTCTATCTGGCATATCTTCTGGCATAGCTTCTGGCATTCTACCTGGCATATCTTCTGTAATATGTTCTGGCATATCTTCTGGCACTTTATCTGGCATTCTATCTGGCATATCTTGTGGCATTCTACCTGGCATATCTTCTGGCATTTTATCTGGCATATCTTCTGGCATTCTATCTGACATTCTATCTGGGGGTCTATCTGACATATCTTCTGGCATTCTACCTGGCATATCTTCTGGCATTCTATACCTGACATTCTATCTGGCGGTCTATCTGACATATCTTCTGGCATTCTATCTGGCATATCTTCTGGCATTCTACCTGGCATATCTTCTGGCATATGTTCTGGCATATCTTCTGGCAAATCTTCTGGCATTCTATCTGGCAAACATTTTGGCACTTTATCTGGCATATCTTCTGGCATATCTTCTGGCATTCTACCTGGCATATCTTCTGCAATATGTTCTGGCATATCTTCTGGCACTCTATCTGGCATTCTATCTGGCATATCTTCTGGCATTCTACCTGACATTCTATCTGGCGGTCTATCTGACATATCTTCTGGCATTCTATCTGGCATATCTCCTGGCATTCTACCTGGCATATCTTCTGGCATATGTTCTGGCATATCTTCTGGCATTCTATCTGGCATTCTATCTGGCATATCTTCTGGCATATCATCTGGCAAATCTTCTGGCATTCTATCTGGCAAACATTCTGGCACTTTATCTGGCATATCTTCTGGCATTCTATGTGGCCGTTGAGGTCCAGCGGTGCGCACTGAGCTCGGAAGGTCCCAAGTTGAGGTCCAGCTGTGCGCGCTGAGCTCGGAAGGACCCAGGTTGAGGTCCAGCGGTCACTGAGCTTGGCAGGTCCCAGGTTGAGGTCCAGCGGTGCGCACTGAGCTAGGAAGGTCCTAGGTTGAGGTCCAGCGGTGCGCACTGAGCTGGGAAGGTCCCAGGTTGAGGTCCAGCAGTGCGCACTGAGCTGGGAAGGTCGCAGGTTGAGGTCCAGCAGTGCGCACTGAGCTGGGAAGGTCCCAGGTTGAGGTCCAGCAGTGCGCACTGAGCTGGGAAGTTGGCGAAGAGCTTGGCGAAGAGTTGGCAAGGCGGAAGTGGAGGTGGAAGTTGACGCAGACATGGTCGAGGAGAAACAGGAGGAGGCGGAGGAGGCGGAGGAGGAGGAGAAGGAGGAGGAGGACAACAGCTCTGATCAAATCTAACAACCCTCACCTGGCAGGTGGGGAACAACACTAGTGTAGGTGTATAATGGTGTATACACAATAACAAACATTAACAAACTCAAAATCATATTTCGGAGATGAACATCCCTCAAGAACTGCTATTTTGATGCCCACGCCAGGGTAAAATCATTGAGTCTGTAGGGTTTTGATCGATGGCCATATGAAAATTATGATCAATCATCACACATCGAATCCAGAACTTGTTTCCCTTGCTCACCAGCAGTTTTGCATATATATATATATATATGTACACATAGATGTGTTGTTTCTGCAACGCCTTACAACCCCAACAACAGTTTACTTTTCGGCAAAAACTGCGACATGACCATCTCTCATGCGATGGTTGGTCCCGGGCATCCCGTCATCCGCCATGTTTCCTGAGTTTTGACACCATGTTTCATCTGTATTCCCTCAAACCCCAGAATGGTTTTCATGTTGACTGTGAACGAATATCAAGTGACAATTATACTCATACAGTATATTTTGGGTAGTACCAAGGTTTGATGTAAACTTTACATGGCATCAATGGGCCGTGTGAGGCCCTTCTCAGTTGGGCGTTCACGAGCGCAGAACATGCTGGCCGTGGCTCTAGCCACTCAGGAGAGAACGCGAAAAGGTGGAAAAATTCATGATGAACTGGATGAACTGGTCATTTTGAGTAGGAAAGCGTTACTAGTTATTAGCATTAGAACTCCCAAAAGTAGGCCACCCAACAGGTGTTTTCACAGGTTTTGGAGCTCCAAAAGTCAGCGCTTTATGGATGAAACATGATGGTTGCAGGATGATCAGGCCAAAGTTCGTCGACTCGAGCAGGCTGCAGGGGAGAATCGTGGTGAATCCCTGGATGTTTGTGGATTTTTAAGGTCCCCTAGCCCTAGCCATATCATAAAATGCAACTGGAAAAAAGGGACAAATCATGATGGAAAAAAATGCGTTTTCTTGGTGCTCTGTATTCAGACACACCAGCATGTTTCAAATTTATCCGGCACTGGCATGATTCAATCATGGTAATGATATTCGATAATGTTTGTTATTGTGTTCCTGTTTCAATGATCATGATGAGTGATCTTTTTCATTTTTTTTCAGGGACTGTGGCTCAACCAGCAATCACCACTCAAATGTGGCCCAAGCCACTTCTATCAACCGATGGCCCTCCAAATTCTCATTTTGCGTGTTTTGTTTGCTACAGTTCTGCATGCTGCAGTTTCAATCCCTGGTGCTTGCGAACTCTGCACTATCGATGATTTTGCTGCTTAACTCCTATTATATAACCATTACTAACCACTATTAACCATTACTAACCACTATTAACCATTACTAACCACTATTAACCATTAACCACTATATTTATTGCTAGGTAGCTGGGATACCAATTTTTTCAGGCTGTTCATCAGCCATCAGCGCCGCCCTTTTCGAGGCGTTGGAGACACCCTGCGTGCGCTACGAGCGCGCCCAGACGCCACGGCTGATGCAGGTCGGCCGGTCGAGCAGTATCCCATCGATGGCCGAGGTTGGATCGTTCCCAAAATTGGCCATTCGTATACCCTAAAAATTTGAGACACAGCCAGTGCCCAGATTCTATATTGTTGGTTAATGTTGGTTAGTTACATGTTAATTATATGTTCATATATGTTCCATTACATCCCCATAGGCCCATAGAAGTCATTCCCATGTGTTCCCAACGATCCAACACGCATCGACCCGAAGGTGGCGCGTGATGCCACTGTGCTCAGGGGAGAACTCACCAGAAAGGACTGGGAGCAGCGGACCACTCGTCGGATTGCATGGGCAATTTTACACACTGCGTTTTGTTTCCATTGAAAATCAAGGGTGGGTTCCATAGATTTTCCTCACATGGGTGCTTCACAATACGGAAAAACGGAAGTTTGAACAGAGAAAAGAAGTGATGAATATGGGTTAAAGATGGTTAAACCATCACATTATGAACAGTGAAGGTTTCGACATCCCGAGCATAGTTATTGGGTGAACTATGGTGGTGGTCCCCATCAACAGCTATTGGGCCCTGCAATGTCTGTTGGTACAGCACCGGCTACGACTGGAGGGTTAAACTCATTTGGGATTTGGTCTGTGGAGGATCGCAAAAAGGCTTGGCAAGACAAGCAAGAGAAGGAAAAGAAGGAAGAGAAAGAAGAGAAAGAAGAAAGAAAAAAAAAGACTGGATCTCAGATCTCAGCTTGATCATTCTGAGATCATGCACTTTCATTCTAATTACTGTCTTTCCACTTTGTATGATTTGTATTGATTTGTCGGATTCAGAAGATTCTTCCCAAACATTCGTCGAGATTGGCAAGGGTGTGACTCATCACTTGAAATTTAAACATCCCAAATGTGTTCCATACATTTCCACGCCACATTGAATATGAGTACCAAGATTTGGGCAGACAGACTTTTTCTTTGGCAAGTGTGCACAATCAATAGCATCATATAGCCCACTTCCAAGCGGCCTTGCCGGCGCTTGCCCGCGGCTCAGGTCGGAGGCGCATGAGAACCCGAAGCCTCCGCCCAGTCCAGAGGAGCAGAGCCGGCAACAAGCGATGTCCAGGGAGGATCATGGGATATCATAGGTAGTTATACATGGTTACCCTCTGGTTATTTAACATAGCCATGGAAAATGGCCCATTTATAGATGGTTTACCTGTTAAAAATGGTGATTTTCCATGGCTATGTTAAATTACCAGAGGGTATACAAACCATCACAAGAATGGTGATTTCATGAGAATCGTGGGAACTATTGTAATGCTGTAAAGGTGTAACTGTGGGCTTTACAACATTGTAGAACTATGGTAATAATTAAGGCTATAACTCTGGTATATAATAACTATGGGAATAGCTATTAACCTTGGGTGCAGGCTAGGGGTTAGTTTTTTCGGTATAACTATGGTGATAACCTTCATAAGTTGGAATATGGGGCCGCTACAACTATGGTGACGATATGCAATTGGAATCAATTGGATATAATGGGCTATACAAACCATCGAACATGATCATTGAATGGGAATACAATCAACAATATGGGCATGGGTCAATACCTATTAATACCATTATTAGGGGGATGAACATCCATTTACCAGCTATTTTGATGTTCACCAGGGGTACAAGGTTTTGACACACTGCCATATGGGAATATCATGGGCTTTGTTGAGTCGGGGAGATATTTTGTTTTCCTAACGGAACATTAACCATATTAACCACCCCCTAAAAAAAATCCAAGTTTAATAACCCCATGGGAAACCATGGTGGATGTAGGTGATAAACATATATATATATACATATATATATATATAAATAGATTGAATCACATATGACTGGGACCATAGAATGGGTGTGTTGAAGATGACTGGATCTCGATATCAATGGAAAGTGACTATTTCATCGGCAGGATCATCTCCATTTTGGCCGCTGCTTTCAACTTTGACGAAGTCGCCTTTTCAAAGTGTCTTCCTTTCATCTAAACCATCAAAATGTCATCATTTCCATCTGTGGCAATAATTTCATGTTCAATCACAATTAATGATTGTCAATCATATTTGATTTCTTTAACCAGAGGTCATCAGCGGAATCGTTGACTTCCCTACATTTACCTACCTTTCGAACTCATTAAGTAATGTTCAAAGCAATCCCCCCAAAGCACCACCTCATCGAGTTCCTTAGAGTACCGCATTCCACGACTCCACTGATCCACCAACCTCTGTAGGAGTTGATTGGTTAAATCAGCTAGGCTATGCTGTCGGATATTCCTATAAACCAGTATTGAAGCATAGCCTAACTGCCTAGCTGATTGATATGTGTTGAATATCCACTACACCAACGCACCATAAGAATATGCAATACAATGACCAACAAGAAGAATATCCAACGGATATTTTATGAGAAGAAAACCCAACAAATAACTGGAGAAGTCAACCACCGACCCAACAAATATCTGGGCCGGAGTCGTTGAATCCACCAAGTTATTTCTGCCGAGGGATTTGTGTACGAAAAATGACTTCCATATGTCATACCCTCTGGTAATTTAACATAGCTATTGAAAATACCCCATTTATAGTGGATTTACCCATTGAAAATGGTGATTTTCCATAGCTGTAATAGCTATATTAAATTACCAGAGGGTAAACACGATTGATTTCTGAATAGATATGATGGGAATAAAAGATGAATTTCAGATGTGTTTTATTCTGAATCCCAGCCGCGAAATTCTCCAACCCCAGCACTTCCACTTTGGTGTGAGATATGATGTTCCCACCACTTCGCATTCTTTATTTGTTTATCTGGCATAATGATAATGATAATGTTCCATTATAAACAAATGCCGAGAATGTTTATCTGGCATAATGGAACATATTTGTTTGTGAGATATGATGTTCCAAATACTTCGCATAATGATATTTGGCGGAATTGTTGCCCCGCCAGTTAACTGTTAGTTGGTGAAAATAACTTTGCATGAATAATTACTATAGTTATAATACTATAGTTATAGCATGTTATAGCCTCCAGACCCCCTAGTTATACTAGATATTTGCACCCACTTAGCTAAGTAGGGGGCAATTAATATCTATTACTATCACTGATATTTACATATCACAAATGATAGTATAGAAACTGATGTATCAAATTCTAGTAGCTATTCTGATTCCACCAACTTAATAATTACCACAGGAAAATGATGGACCATGGAGTTATTTTTGTTTTCATACTTCCCCTTCCCCATACAAGTTTCTATTGTGATTGCTTCCACCATCAGAGTAACTAATAATCTATTATGATTAACTGATCGCAACTGATTTATCATACATTATTTTTTGGATTTTTTTGGCTTCATCCTTCCGCCATCCATGGAGCTTTCGCTTTGGATTTCCAACATTTTTTTACTTTGATGATTGCTTCCACCATGCTTCCACCGTCCGCCATCCGTATTTACCACACATGATAGTATAGTATGATGTATGGATATTTATCGGTAGTGATTTTTACCACAAATGATAGTATAGTAACTGATTTATCCTTATAGTTGTAGTCACAACTAATATTGTCTGCTTCATCCATCCAGGACTTGTTGAAGGAAGAGGAGGCCGCAGCACTTCGCATCCAAAGTCTCTACCGCGGTCAGAAGGATCGCCAGACCGTGAAAGCTATGGCGGCGCAGGAAGCACAGGCGGTGCCACGGCGCAACGGTTGTTGGCTCGGGGAGAGCCGGGAAATGGCCATGTGAAATGGGGGAAAAATGATGATAAACCAAGATAAATCAGTGATTTGGGTGTTTCTCTGAGTTTTGCCATAATCTTTAGACAAAGGCATGTGGAATTGTTGATGGAAAACCGGGAAAACACTGGGAGAAACGGAGGTTTGCCGCATTTCAGCCATCAAAAGATGGGGTTACGTTGAAGCAACAATGGCGTTGACCAAGACTTGGGTCCAGAAGTAGGTTTTGTTGAAGCAACACATGTTGGGACACCTTGGTGAGTTGGTGAAAGGAGGCAGCCAGAGTTGGAAGCAGGCGTGAAGCATAACAAGATGCGGCCTTGAGACATTAAGACATTAAGAGTGGGGATGTAGAATAATTGGGATTGAACTATTGACCCATCAAAAACGTGGATTCGCCCAAAAAAGAATTCAACTGTGCCTTTGCCATCCTTTATTAAATAGATGTTTTGTTTCCAAAAAAGATGCCCACAACTCATTCATCACTATTTGAGTGGTGTAACCGGGGGTTGAAGCCGAGGCCACCAGGATTCAGAGCATCTACCGGGGTCAGGCGCCTTCCTTTTTTTGGAGGGCCAGGATGGTGTGATTTCTGATTGGATTCCTATGTTTTGATGTGTTTTGATGAGCTTCTGAGAAGTTTTTTTTGCATATTATTAGATGACAGGCAATAGGAGAACGAGGGTGATATATATTTCTTTTTCTCATTTTTTGGCGGTTTCTGGTTGTGGTTTGTGTGGAATGTACTTTTTGAAAGGTCCACACTTCGTCTTGAAACTTCCTTTATTTTGGGCAAGATGATAGATGATTATCATCCCCCGTCGCGATTGAATAAGCCTTCCCCGTTTCGACAAACATGGCTTGTTTATGACCGAGGAACATGCTGTACCCTCTGGCAATCAGACATTGCAATGGAACATCTCTCACAATCTCTCATTTAGTTCGATGATTGTCCCATTAAAAATATTAAAACCTCCAATGCCAGGGGGTATTGTCCCCATGCTTGATGACACCGGAGGGTATCCCCATATGGAATGCTGAAAACTATCGGTATCCTGCAAGGTAGCAAGGCGTGAGATACGAGCTGAATAGGTGCCTGTGAACAACTTGGCACGTCGCACTGGATCGGGGCATCAAAAATATGGAGCCAGAAAAAAGGGGTGAACTTCGAAACATGTAGCATTTATATATACATATCATCATATCGTCATCGTCGTCATCGTCGTCGTCGTCATCATCATCATCATAATCATCATCATCATCTCAGATAATAATTAGTAATAATAATAATAATAATCATCATCTCAGATAATCTGATCTTATCTAGATGTTATCCACTGTTTTATCGCTAAAATCAGTTCCCAGGGATCGATGGGTTTTTGGTCACTGGGGTACCCAATTTTGACCCATAGCTAGAGAAGCCATATGCTGCTGATCTAGTGCAACCATGTGTAGCCTTGTTTTTAAGTGTGGTTTAGATATGTTTATATCCGGCCTTTGCTAATGTGATCCCTGGATTTGTAAAGCCAGGTGCTTAGTGCCCAAAATTGCTACCGTGAGGTGTTTGTGTTTCCTATGTTCAGGACATTCCGTTTGAGTTTGTTATGGGATCCAGCAGTAAAGGGGCCTTGATTCTGAGGTGGAAGAGCCAGGCCGGGACCTTGCCGGGAACGGCCCCATCAGAGTGGTCGTGTTGAGTTGGGTAAACTCAAACCATTTTCAAATTTGTAGGACGGTCTGGGCAAAACTCTTTTGAGGTGATCTGTTGTTTGCTACCAAAAATGGGGACGCTAACCAGCCACGAACTACGAAATCTTTCCTTCTGGTTGGGTAGCTCCCCTGTTTTGGATATCCCTTGTTTGTTGCTAAGGCCCTCAAGCGCGTGAGTGGGAGGAGTTTCGGTGTTCAGCCGTGTTTCTTCGTGACTCAGTAAATCAGGGTGCCACCAACAAGGCATACATGATGCACAAAGAAACTGCAAATCGGTTCAAAGATGAATTGCGCGGCTGGGTCTGTGCTGCAGATGAAACGCAATTCGTGCGTTGTGAAACCAGTCCGTCGGCAGTGTTTCGGAGCTGAGTGCTTGAGTAATAGCTGAAAGACATCAGTGAATGGAAAGAGCGACTTTTTTTTTCAAGATCCTTCTGGAACCACTTGTTCGTTTTGTTCGTGTTCGGACTCAAGTTTCACATGTGCAAATCGCATCTTTTTCACAGCGATTTTCACCCGAGGTTGCTAAAAGCAACTGGAGGGGCTCTCTTGTGTAGACATGTGCAGAATTACGGCATGTTCCATGTCTTTTCATTTCGCACAATGGCACGGCCGGATGCCAAAGGCATGTTTTCGGAAGTGCGGCTGGACATAGTGCAGAATGGGCAAGAATGTTACATCTTTATGTGAACGCAAACCAAGTTTTTTCCCCTCGAGCTCTAAATTTAAGGATCAGACGATGTATTGTACGGATCTTGGTAGTTTTTCAGGATCTTTGAATTTCAACCCCTGGAAGTTGAGTATTCAACCGACACCAATCATCCTGTAGCAGTACGAATTGGGATGATCTCAATTGACAATTGACGAAGATTAGAGTTGAAACATGCTGAAACCATCATCCAGAACCGGTACCAGTATGATACCATCAACTATCCGCATCAGTATCAACCTATCCAGTAGGGGTATCTATATTTCCTATTAAATGAGAAGCCAAGGAGCTACCAGGAGTTTCCCAAACATAGGATAGCAACATCCGACATCATTTCCAGAATCCCCAGATTTTGTTGGCTTCACTATGTCTAGCTGCAAGCGGACCGTCAGTGATCGAAGGATAAATTGATTGCACCGATCCCCATTTCACTGGAAATGTGTGGTTTTTAAACCCTCCAAGGAGTTTACCACATGATACTGGATTTTACCATAGCTTGAGGATATTTGAGAAAGTTTCATAATTAAATATATATAATTATAATTATTGCTGGAATTCATGCGAAAGAAATGCGTTAGTCCAACAATTGCTTTGTCCAAACATGTCTGAAGAACGATGAATATAATATAACACAATACAATATAAAATAATTTAATATTATACAATATCACATAATAATACAATAAAATATAGTATAATACCATGAGATTGAGGAGTAGTCTATTCGCAAAAGCCCATCGCGGAGTGTCGCTCATGGTCCGCAGATGTTCTGGCGAAATATGCGGAGTTGTGTTCTGCCAGTTCCACCAAGTTGGTTTTTGTATGTATACAATGAAGAATGATTACTGAAATAGTTCCTAAAATAGTTCTAACACAAGTAGATATACTTGTGATTTTCCGGGTAATTTAAATAAAATGAAATTTGTGATACTAAATGTTGGAAGGATTCAACTGAGATAATCTGAAATGACCAAGGTTGTACTAGGAATAGTGGAAGCCTCATGTTGAACTTTGTACAGGAAGCATCACCATTTTGATTCCGAACAGCAAAACCCTCAACACTTGTTTTATTTGAATATTTTAGATTATTTTAGATCAGTCAATAGAAATCTTAGTCAAATTTATGACTAACAATAGACAAACCCATACAGTTTCCTCACTTTCCTACATGGGAACATGATGGCCGTTTAATAGGGAACATGATGAGAAAAACCGAGGTTATCACCATGGGATACCATGGTGCATCCTACGTATTCACACAGCAGCCACTAATTTCTACGTATGTTTTATGTGTTTTTTCTGTTCCAATGAATGGCACTCTACTTTAAAGCAACATAGATTTGGACATCACAAAATTTGTAGATCCGGTTCCAGCCACGGGAATTCCCATGGCGTCTTTCCACGACTCGGTCCAGTCGTGGTCGGATCTTCCCCGGTCGCTGGTCAGGACCTGCTGTTTCGTCGCCTTGGAGGAGATGGGTTCTCCAAGCTGCTGGACGAAGCTGAGGTGAGAGAACTCACCCTGTCATGGCCATGGCTGGAAAATCCTCTAGACAGATAAATGCTGCTTATAGCTGGGAAAATCAGCAAAAAAAAGCGTCTATAAGTTAGAGATAAGCTAGAATTGGGGGATGTTCCAGCCTATGTTTGATGACACCAGAGGGTATCCCTTGGGTGGGGGAAGGGGAGGGAGTGTAAGCCACAAGTGTAAGCCCTACATTTGATGAATATCCCCACAGCCGTATGACGGGTCTTACCTGGTTATCTGTCAGCATACGAATCAGGAATCACGACCATCCACCGGCATAGTGGGGATAGCCCAGTGGGGAAAATGAAGCCCGAGGAAAATAGAAACGAACAATTATAAACAATAAAGTTGGTGATATAGTTTACACAATCGATAAATTTTATGGGTAACCTGTAAAGGCCGGGAAATCAAGTTCCAGGCAACTTCAATTGCAAAAAATCGGACAGAAGCATCCGAGAAATTACGGGCTAATCAACAAATGAACTCTGAAGAATTGCGCTGTAACCCAACATGCATGACTGACGGAAATGCAAGATTCACCAGCAGAAATGGCGAAATAGCCATAAAGTCAATCAAGATGGTGAAGCCGGTAATTCTACAACATCAATAAATTCAAGCAATAAAACGTCCTAACATCATAGTTGGATTCCCCAGTTGCAGGATGACAAGTCAATAAGTCCCAGGAATCAGCCTTTGCAGCCAGGTCATCACCAAGAAATTTCAAGCTCGGATCAAAAAAGCCTGGAGCCCAGCAGAGCGGGTTGGTGATGTCCCAGGTTCGCGCTTGTCCCAACTTTAAGTGATGCCAATGACCCTTGGGGTGGGTTTTGCCCATTTTTCAGGCCAGATTTTGTCAAAACCATCCCGACTGAATGGCCTGGTTCAGGGGAAGAGTTGATCAGAAGCTAAGCTTTCAAGAGTTGAATCTTTCAATTGTTTTAAGCTTGGGACACTACACCCAACAGTCATTCCGAATTTTTTATGAATTCCAGGTTGGTGTTTGATTTAAGATGTTAAATTCCGCGTGGACATGTTCAACGAATCTTTTTGGTCAGTCGCTAGTTTGAGCCCCGGCGTTTGAGTGCAGCAACCATCCCATCTCAAGGCCCGTGGCTTTTTCCAGACAAGCAACGGCATCATTTGGCACGCGACATGTTTCAGCTGGGTTGTGTTCCGGGGAACCCATGGGAGACCCACCAGTCATCCTCTCAGCTTGGACAGTGCCATGTCAGGTATGTGAACCCTGAGGGTGAGGTCAAAGGTTTGACATCCGATGGCAATAAGATTCGCGATCGCATCCAGGTTGGGTGTTTTTCTGAGGGGCGAAAACCGGTCAAGGCGGTTTTAATCGTGTTTCATGGGAGGAATTGAGTCACGATGACAATTAAGATAATTAAGTACCAGCTATTCATTTCGGCAGGGTCTCTTTTGTAGCCACGAATCCATCATACCAAGCTGGGACAGAAATTCTTCAAATCGCTCGAAAAGACCAACATCTGACAACCAGTCCCATCTAGGTCCCATGTGCAGGTTTTTTTTGTTTTTCTTGGGATCATCGGCAGGTCACTGACGATGATGCATTGCAAATTGGGTGTCTTGGTGGCTCCACGGATGGCGAAGAACCATACGCCATGATCATCCATGATCCATGGGGACTTACTAAGCAGGTTATTTAGCAGTTGCTAAATGGGATGATCCTCAAAGTATACTTTTTTGATTCTGATATGTGCCATGTGAATCCTTGGAAAAGTTCGATTGTCCGACTGTCCGACTGGGGGTCCTTGGCATAAATCATCATAAATCCATATTCATAGTTGTGTTTTTGCACATTGCAAGGATTCCCATGGCATGGGATGGATGACCATAATCTATACAATGTTTCAACCCTAGCACATCAAAAAGTTGGAAGGGGAGTGATCCCTGTTCTTTACCAGATACCTCAGCTGAGAAAATCACCTTTGGCCCTTGTTTCGGAACCCAACTTGCACAGCTAAGGGAAATCCGTGGGTTTATGCCCTGGTTAAATGATGCCAGTTGGCAACAACTGGCTAGGACATTCATTTTCAGACGTATATACTATATATCATTATATATACATATCAGCGTGTCAAAACCCCAAATCTTCCTGTGTTTGCCTGGTTTTGACTCAGAACCATATAGCTCTGTGTCCCAAATTCGATGCTGCATCATCATCATTTTGGAAAAAAACAAATGTTGGTGGCCCCATTTTGACCCGTACCCCTCCCCATGTTTACCACCCGATTTCAGTGGCAGTGAGGCCCTTTCGTTTGGACGAAGACCGGCCCTGCAGCTGTATCCACTGGATACGGAAGGCACAGAACAGCACGAAAAACAGGGCGATTCCATGGTGCTGGTGGTGATGAAGATGAACGACAAATAGACAAAGAACATAAAGAAACGGAAAGAAGGGGTGTAAATAGCTAGATATATGGTTGATTTCATCATATTTCATCTTGAAAATGGATGAACATGGTGTTTTTTTGCAGCCAAAATGGTGGTTTGATGAATTTCAGATGTTTTCTATGTAGGATGATGACATGAGCTGGACAGCGGCAGGACGATCCAGAAAAAACCTGGAACTGGTCAAGGTGTGGCAGGATTTTCCAATGCTGGGAAACCCTGGAACTAAATGGGGCTGGGAACAATGAGAAAATCAGTTACAGGATGGGGCCCCCAGTCGAGCTCGCGTTCAGTTGCCGAACATAAGTGGCTGAATTCTATGGTTTATGGTAGATATAACTATAATATACTATAATTACTTAATTGGGGTTTTGTTATGGTTTATATAAATTATATAAACCAACTTATAACTAGGGGGGCCATCCTGTATAAATTATATGCATTTTACATTGCCATGATTATTGGCAGGTATTCTTCCCCATTTTTGGTTTGACCCAAAGATGTGAAGCATGACGTTCTCATTGGAAGGTCGCGATCATTTAGATCACTATAGCTCGTAATTCGTAATACCGATTTATACCTGGTTGGTGGGGTTTGGAACATGACTTTAATGACTTTCCATATATTGGGAATAATAACCCCAACTGACTCATATTTTTCAGAGGGGTTGAAACCACCAACCAGATATAATATCAGAACATATCATCATTCCTGGGCCAAGAAATATTGATATAGCAAGTTAGTAGCTATAATTATCATATATATATATACCTTCTGGTAATTTAATGAAATTTAATTGAATTTAATATAGCTATGGAAAACATGGCCCGTTTAGTTCGGTGGTTTGCCGTTTTTGCTAAGGAGGGCTATTTTTTGCGGGGAATTATGTGTTTTTTCCGGTTTGGGTATTTTTTTTGGATTTCTGTTTCCCTGCTTCTTTGCTTTTCTGCTTTTCTGCTTCTCTCTTTTCTGCTTTTCCCTGCTTTTCTGCTTTCCCAGCTTCACTGCTTTGTGCTTTTCCCTGCTTCTTTGCTTACCTGCTTTTCTGCTTCTCTTAAACCAAGCCTAAGTAAACCCTAAAACAAACCCCGAAAAGATCCTAAACTAACCCTTAAAAAAACCTATATAGATAAACCATAATAAACCCTAACTCTAAAACCAACCCTTAAACAACTTTAATCCAAACAAAACCCCTAAACTAACCCTAAAACCAATGAACCCTAGTTGCAAACTACCATGTTACATGAACAGTTCCAGCATCAAAATGTTGCAAATTCCATCGAAAATGAGAGGTTCGAACTCAAAAATGCTGCAAATACCCTTGAAACGGCAGCTTCCAGCTCCAAAATGTTACAAACTCCACCAAAATGTTGCAAAATCTATGGAAAATGAAAGGTTCCAACTCCAAAATATTGCAAAGACAGTTGAAATTCCAAAATGCTGCAAATAGCAAGGAAAACGGGCAGAAAAGCTGATCCAAAGAAAATGCCCAAAACGGAAAAACAAACAAAACAATTCCGGACCCTTTTACAAATGGTGATTTTCCAGTTCGCTATGTTATAGTTATTGTATCCATATCTATCCCATTATTGATCACTACTACTAGATACCAAATGACCATTTCGATCCATTTCGAGTATTTTTTTCAGCTGGCGATCGTGGAAGTCGTGGAAGCTTGAAGCGGTTGGATTCACGGCTGTAACGGGTGTAGAACCAACAATTTGGGTTACCCTTGGATAATTTCAGGCTTTGCAAACTGGAAAATCACCATGTTCAAAGGGTCAATCATCATTGTTTACCATTTCTTTCTATGGGCCATGGCTTCTATAGCTATGTTTCCATGACCTCTAGAGGCTACTGGTAGAAACTCTGCAACCTCAGAAGTGGCCGGCAGGGACAACACCTTGAGAAGCCGGGTGCGCTTAGGCACTGGTGAAAGAGCTTAGCTCCGCGAATTCTCATCACAACACCCAAAATGTGGTGTGGATGAGTTGGAATAGCTTTGTTATTTTTTGGTATACTGTGTGTATACACATTTGTTTATTTCTTCCATGATTTGTTTGTTTCCGGAACACCAGGCAATTTCGCACTCAACTCAGCCACCTGTTAACGAGTTCATACCTGAGGGTATGGCCAGAGCCTTACCATTTGCACAGCTGAGTTCTCGGTGGCACGCGCTGAGTATTTCTGTGCCATGGTTGGTCACCGGACGTCGGGCTTAGTCCCTAAAACCTGCGTGCAGAAAGGCTCTAGCACAGCTTAAGCGGGTTTTGATGGGTTTTGCAATTGCTGATCCACGGTTAAACTTCTGGTCTTGGGATCCTCCATTTTGAGAAGCCTCATGTCCAACAAGATCTTAGCAACTGTCCATAGGAAGATGAGCCGGTGAGCCACTTATCAGCTCGGCATCATGATCAGCTCCGTGATTCGCTTGGCTCCAATCATAGAAAGCTAAAGAAAACAGATATGTCCACAGATCGAGGCCTATGTCCTTACTTTGGATGTACCACCAGTTAGCAGATCACCAGTTGCATCCGCATCGAACAAAATTAGCCACGCCATGGCGATGTTAGAGAAACCGCGTGTCAGAGGCTGAACTCTGCTGAAATGTCGACTGTGTGACTGGCCGAATTCATAGAGAGAAACACTGTCGCAGAGGTGCAATCTGTGTGTTTCATTGTTTTCTGAGGTTTTCTGTGCGTACTGTAGTTCACCAATGAACAAAAAATTGAATGGGAATTCAAGGTGATTCAACCAGCGAAAAAATTGAGGCTACTGCGGCTACTGGCTACGCCGAGGCCGAAACTTTGCTGCTGTGGGGATTGGCTACCAGCCAATTTTTGAAAAGACCTAGAGTCTAGAGATCTCACATCAAACAGCAGTCTGGGAGGTATATCTCATTTTTAGACACCCATCTGTTTATAGATTTTATAGGTGCTTTGACTTTGACTTTATTTGGTGGAATCTATCACCCCCCAATGATGGGACCCCCCATAGTAACAATCATCCCCAAGCATCCAGACTATGTGGGTAAACCACTGGTAAACCCATGTCACTTAGAGTGGCAAACCGATACCCAGACGTAGATCTCAGCCACAGTGAGTGCGTTAAGTTAATTTGATTCAAGGTAAACATGACACAACTCAACCTTTTAGTCCGGAGGAGATCGTAGGAGTTAATTATCCCCTTGTTTTTTTTGGGCACACCATAGACGAGTCTTGATATGTCTTAGAATTGGTTGGGTGGTTCAATGTGTTTTTCAAAGGGAAAACATGTTAATTATAGGATAACATGTTATTTCCCATCCAAATGTTATTTACACATGTTTATACCATGTTATTTCCCATCCAAACATTCGCGTACTTTGTGGTTAAGCTACACCATGCATGACATGTTGATCCAAAAAAGGTCGGGAGGGTCCCATTGGGATGATGCCCAGGAAATTCATCGGTACTCGTAAAGACCCCCAACGTTTGAGCTCTAGTAGAGGATGAAATATGATGAAATTACATATATTCCTTGTAGGACATAGAATGTTTATTTCATAGAATCCATATGAATTTCATAGAATGGGGGTGTTTATTCATGTTTATTCTGAAGGACCCAGGGAGGGAAATCCAGAAGTGTTGATGGGTATCCTTGAAATTGTGCGAGGCTCCAGCCGTCAGAGAACTCAGGGATGCACATCAGTCTTGGCTGGGATTGTGGTTCATATTGGAAATTACGGCAAATTTCATGTCTATTTCATGGCTATTTACTGGGAGAATCATTGGATAATCATGGGGACATGTTTTAAATCAAGCAAACTGGCGAAATTGATGAGTTTACCTCTACACTTGGGCCAATTGACCCCGCTTGTATTTGCTGCGTTTCGGAGCAACCCTGTTAATTCACCAAAAAAAAACGGTCCAATGTTTTCCAGGACCTAAGACTGCCAAACTACCGTGAGTTGGAAGTGCTGTTCTTCCACTTTTTGGGTTTGACATGTCCATTTCAACTACCAGGAAAATCAAGGAACATCATGTTTTGGGGAATCCCCATTTTCAATGCTTAGATTCTCATCTTTCTAGCTATAAATCCCCTTCATTGTTCGTGGTGAGATTCCATTATAGCACCCCACAAAAAGGTAGAGCAGTAAAATCCCACTTGAATAGTGAATCCATGTAAATCCCATTTTTTTTTTTTGCAAATTACTATACATCCACCTACAAATCCATCACTTTTGCTGCGAAATCCACCATTTCTCTTGGTGCCAAGGCAGTCTCCGAGGCCGCTTCTTCCCCTGCCTCCGCACCAGCGGCAGCAGAGCCTTCCGCTCCACAGGTACCTGGTTGGTTTGGTGGATTTGCCTTGATTTGCCACTGTTTTTTCATCTTTCTGTTAGGATTTGTTCGGTATGTTTAAGTTGTAACATATGACCTAGAAAAAATATAGTTCAGACGGCCTGGATTTTTTCAGCTACTTTGAAATATGTTTGATTTGTCCGGATTTTCAAATTGATGTTGATGCAATTTTCTGGACGAACTTCCGAGGAACTTTGGAGGGAAGAACATGTAAAGATGAACCAGATCTATGTGGCTGAATTGAAAAGCGCACAAATCTTTCGTGATGATGGAACACATCCGCCCATTTTGTTGGATTTTTGAGGGATTTAAACTGATTTAAACTTTGTATTTTGCCCATCTTTTGCGGAAACCTCAAGATGCTTTGAGTTTGGACATGTTTGGGCCCCCCAGCTATGCCATCAAGGTGCAAGAGGAGGCATCAGCACCGCCGGCAGTGGTTCCAGCGGACTGGGGCCCAGCCACTGGCGCCACCATCTACGTTTGGTGTTGAAGATCTTGATTTGGTACAGAAAACAGCTACAGCAACGGTAAAAAAAAACTCACATCAATCTCGGTTGTGACTCCCATCCGATCAATTTTCAGAAATGACGGGATCAAATCCGGCTTCGTTTATCAATAGATCCGATACATCACTGGTTGGTGGTTTCAAACATTTTTTATTTTCCATATCATATATGGGTTGTCATCCTCCCCATTGATGAACTCCATCATTTTTCAAGATGGGCACATTGATTGCACCACCAACCAGATATTTTTCGATGCGAACATATCCCTATTATGAACCATCATAAACCATCATTAACCATATATTAACCATATATATCATAAGTATATCAATAACTATGATGACCTTTGTAAATAAACCATCAGTATTGGGTCTATAGGGGGGATGATCCTTGGAGAATCCCACGGCACGGTCCGACCGTAACGCCGTAACTGAAAAAATCCGATCGGTGATCGGATGTGTCCCCAATGTCCCCTGGTATATCGTGGTAGTTATTCCATTCGAAAAAATGGGTGAACTATATCCTTATGCTATCTTATGCTTATGGTTCAACATAGCTATATGGAAAATGGCCCAGTCGAAATAGTGGATTTACCCATTAATAGCATGGTGATTGTCCAATATATGAAGCACTTATGAGCTAACTATGGTCATTAAGCACTATGATTATTAACCACAGTGGCACTTAACCATTGATATTTATGGCTTTTTACCTGTGAAAGGATGATTCTCCAATCCCAAGCCATGCTTTCGTCCCCAGGCACCAAGACGTGGCACAACATTGAGCGCACAGGACAGGACGGTTCTGCGCTTCGCGCAGTCTGGTCCAGGAGGTGCTCGGTGCTCGGGGGAGTGCTATCGATATATATATATAATTATATATATATGTATATATATATATATCATTATATATCTATATAGAAACATTATATGGGTTATGGCCCAGTTATGGCAATTTATATAGAACCATCCCCTTAAGATAGATAGCTTTTGTATCTATTATGGCAGTTTTCCAGAAACATATATGGCCATGGGGAAAAATGATGGTCATCCACTGAATTCAGGTGGAGCTAAAGATGTCCAGACTGTTTTTTTTTGAACTTTTTTGATCAGTTCGATTTGACGGTCCCAAAGACATGAAGAGCATCTCCAGGTCGATTTTCTTCAAGCCACAGGGTAAATCCCATCAAAATAAGCCCATGGTTTTTTGTGAGGAACGGCGAGAGGCCAGCACCTATGGAGAGTTGTACTCGATTCTGGTACTGAGCTCAGCCAGCACCCGGTTTTTTGGGGTGAAATCAGCTACCAACTGACAGGTTGACAGGCATGGGATGAGACCCAATTTCGGCGTTTTTTTTCGGGAAAATGATGTTGTAAACCCTGGGTGTGCTGATATATATATATATATACATAATACTTTGTTTTTTTTACTTAAATCCCAATGGAACATCAAGCAGTTGGGGAATGGATCATTTTTTAAGGACTATTTGTTGGACATTGGACCTGAAAGACACATTCATTTTTGGGGCAAATATTGTGATGGTGAATCTCCATGCACTAAGTTAGATAGTATTCAGATAACCAACATATATCAAACATGTAAAACTACACAAATAATTAATAATTAATATAATATAATTACTATATGATATATTCTCTATATATAGATATACACTATATGATTATATATTATTATATATATATTTCCATGATATAATGATATTCCCATACTTAGTTTAAATTACCTTTTTTTTTTTGGCAAGGCCAATTAATGGTTTTTTCCAGGTCGCGACCGAACACCTGGAGAACGCCTTTGTCCGTGCTGCTGTGACGAACGAGGCCTAGGTTTGTTTAGATCGGTGATTTGTTATTTTCCCAGAACATCAACCATTTGGGGAATCAACCATGGAATTATTTTTTTGATTTTGGGGAATCCCTTAATCAAAGCCAAGATTAACAATATATATATATATGTTAATAAACATTGATGTGATCAACGAAACAAACATACCATATATACAAGAACCACTAGTCTCACATTGAATACTTCTGTCGACACATTTAATTATATGATGAAAAAATGTGTAACATTTTATGCTTACCTTGGTCTTAGATAAGGTGACCCGCCATGTTGATCGCCGGTCGAAAAAGCGATGTGGACCATGTCCGCTTCCGTCCCCTGCTTCGTGGAAGGACTATGAGAAGGCTTGCACGCAGTTGCTGGCACAATTCAAGACCTTGAAGATCTTTGGCAAAAAAAACGATTCGAGATGTTTTTTTTTGGATTGTTTTGGGAATGGAAGACTGTATATGGCTCAAAGAAGACAATGGAAGACTGTAAAAAACATGTTTTTTGTGTGTTTCTTGGTAGTCTACTATACATAGGAAGAAAAGGCAAACTCACTTGCACACATTTAATTATTCTAGATAATTGATGATAGTGATACCGTATCATATTAGATCATGATCGTATTTATTCTAAAAAGGCAAAGACATTGGATAGCTGGCGACTTTTTGCTGATGAAAATTATCCCAGTCTTCCAGAATTTCGCATCCCAAGGAATGGGCTGAAGGACAAGTCATACACTCAGAATTTCTGTCAAACCGTTTGATTAAATCCTCCAATGATTCTGAAAAATATCAGTTTCAGAGTCCAACTGGTGTTGTGAACGTCAAATGGATTTGAATACACCACTTAACTGGTGGTGGGGTGTCTCAATCGTCGCAGGTTTCCAGATATTCGTTCTTTTGCACAGGAGCATGGGCTCAGGACCTCAGGCTGTGTCGGCAATGGGCGGTTTTTGATATGTTCGTTATGGGTTTCATCAGTTTCATCCTGTAATGTTTTAGTTCCTATTTCGACCCATTTGGACCCATATCAACCAGCGGAAAACAGCCACAGTGTACATCATGTACATCATTTACATCATGTCCATCATGTACATCATGTCCATCTATCTATATATATATATACATGTGTATTATCTGTGAACTCTGTGTTGGGAATAGCTGTTATTGAAGACTTGAAGACACACACACACACATTGGACATGGGACAGACACTTCCTCCGAACACGACCTGAATTTCATGTTGTGCAACTGGGTTTGTCCCCAGGCCGTTGGTACCCCAAATTTTCATGATCTGTTTTTCCATTTACACATGGCCGTTTGGACCATTTTTTTTTTCTGACCGCCCCAAATTTCAATGTTGGTAAGCTAAGCTATATCCCAATATAGTCATATTATATACCCAATACTATGGGTAAATTAATAATAATCCATCCCCCCAGTCATCACAATTTTTATGGGTGGTATGGTTACCATTGCCAGTCATGGGTGGTTTATGACATGGTGTTACCCACATTATTGCTATTATCATCATGGTCAATGTGGGTAAATCAATGGTAAATCAATGATAAATCAAGGGTGGTTTTTATGTGGGTAAATCAATGGTAAAAATACCATGGTTGATAAAAACATGATCATTGATTTATCAAGGTGTTTTTTTACCATTGATTTACCCACATATTTAAAAAAAACATTTTATGTGGGTAAATCATTATCAATGGTGGTAAATCATTGTTTTATCAACGGTCACGCAATGGCTGCTCCAACATTTGGCGCTCCAAGGCTCCATTGTCCCCTGGCAGAAGAGCGACTGCTGGGTGCAGGTGTTGCGGCCACTGCTGCTCGGTTGAAATTTTGGTCGCGTTTGGGCGCCAGGAATTTTCCCCATGAAATCTGCCAGAGATGACGGTTTTTTGAATGCTAAAGATCTACAAATCACATGAATTTGATGGCCAAAGCAATGAGTTTTTTTTGATTTGCTATCAAGTGGTCATGCCAAACCAATCAGAGACCCCTGGGTCTGCCAGTCTACCCCTTCGATAGTGATACCGACAAATCGGTGGTCAATCTGTCATTTTCCTCGATGGATCATGCTGAGAATTTTCTGCATCACCTGAGGCCCTTTATGGAGGAGCAGCTGACACCGGAAAAGAAAGCCTTGCATGCTTCAAGGCAGCGTAAGATTTTTTCCTGGGGATCAAATGATGAACGTTTTGGTGAAGATTGGTCAAGCTTTTCCATACAGTTTGGCCCCTTGCCTTTTTTATCTACCAGAGGCAGTTGGTGGATAAAGGTACTAAGATTTGCAGCATGATTTGGGTATCGGAGTCAGGCATCACCCTAGCGAACCTCATATTCTTCATTTGAGTCAGAAATACTTGGATACTACTGATACTACCCAACAAGATTGGGGACATGACCATATTCAACGGTACGGGGGTCACTGAGACTTTAATGGGAATCTAGCCACTGCACTGCACAGGGGTTGAAGCACCAGGCGCCCTTGCCCAGGCCTCCGAACATTTCATCACACTGCTGGATGCTGTGAAGCTGAACCTGAAAGCAGGAAACTGAGGCTGGCTTTTTCAATTATCAAATGGCTCTGAAAGCTCTGAACATAGTGGATTTAACCCCCAAAGTGGAACCTGGAGGGTACCAGGTTAACTGGCAAACCTTGGTTTGGTAGTTTGATGATGATGTATGGACTCGGACGTTCATCGATTGCGTTTTAGCCACAAGTAGAGGAATATGTGTATATATTATACATATATATTCTACATTGTCACTATGTGTACAACTATACACACGCATATCTATCTATCTATCTATCTTATCTGATCTGATCTGATCTGATCTGATCTTATCTGATCTTATCTTATCTTATCTTATCTTATCTATCTATCTATCTATCTATCTAATCTATCTATCTATCTATCTATCTATCTATCTATCTATCTATCTATCTATCTATCTATCTATCTATCTATCTATCTATCTATCTATCTATATGGAACTAGCATTTTAGTATCCTGCTGAAATGCTTGTTTGGTTGTTGGATATCTAAGGTTGCCACCTCCCGTTGACCTCCACAATTCGTGAAAACTGAGGCCGTGGATGAGCTGCTCCCGTTGGTGAGGGATTTGCAGGTCCATTCGGGTGGAATTCGCAGCATTGTCACAATCATCACAATACCTATTATCTATTAATATATATAGATATTATTTGTATGACTTATGATTGTAGATATATTGCTTCCCAAGCAACTGGGCCATTTCACGATGAGGCCAGCATCGTTCAGATCCCCAACCTGCCGCCGCTGTCGGGGGTGGATCGCATCACAACGTTGGGGAGCTCAACGACTAAAATTAGAACAGTGGCGATACTCGTACCACAGTGATGCCACACATATATATATATATTCTATGTACAGAACTATGTATATATATATATACACACATAATGTATATATATATATACACATAATGTATATATATATATATACATATACATAATGTATATATATATATATACACGTAATATGTATACACAAAAAAAAATATATATACAGTACATAGATATGCATATGGCTGGGTGAATTGGCGATACACTTACATGATCGAATCCATGTGGGGGTCAATTCTCATTGAGAATATATGGATAGGCAACGGTGTGCTGGGGATGTCACTTTGTACTAAAATCATCTTTTCATTCATTTTTTGGCCTTCTGGCCTGTCCCAGTGATGATGCTACACATTTTGGCCGTGGGATAGTTGCAATAAACTGAACCAGAACATTTGATGAATATTCCAACAGATGCAATAAACTGAACCAGAACATGCCATGTATTCCAACATGGCAATGGTGAAAATCATTTCTTCCAGAAAAAAGTGTTTCGTTTCCAGACGGATTTCCCAGATTTGATCCCTTACTTCGAGCCGAGCTTAGGTGGTTGGTGACCCTGAACAGCATGAAAGTCCGGGCCTCGTGAATTTTGCTGAGACAACCTACAATACAAAAAAACGATGGAAAGATCCACCACTTTTAATGGCTAAATCAACTATAAAGACTGGGCCATTTTCAATAGCAAACTGTTAGTTTACCAGAGGGTATACATATTGTACGTTACTCCATAACATTGTATATATCCAATAATTTATAATAATAGTAATGACTGTAGCAATAATACAAAATAACAGTAATAATAATAATGATAGATGCAAAATTTCAGGATTTTTCCATGGCAATTTGGAAAACTGTGGATCCCGCTAAACTTGCCCCGGCAAGTTTAACGTGATCAGTGCAGGGGATTGTATACTTACATATATGTGTGTGTATATAATATGTATCTTACTATGTATATATACCTATCCATGGATATGAGATGATATACTTATTTATACTAGATATGATCTTTTCTCGTTGAGTGTAATTTGTATCTTATGATATTCAGAATCGTTTATAGAGTTTTATACTAATATGGCAGTGTGTCAAAACCTTGTACCCCTGTAGTTCACATCAAAATAGCCGGTAAATGGATGTTCATCCCCCTAAAAATGGTATTAATAGGTATTGATCCATACCCATATTGTTTCATATACAGATACCTTTTGGTACTATGGCTGTACCCAAAACACATCGCCGCGACCCTAAGGCATCAGATCACATCTCGGAGGATCAAAGCAGACAGTTGGCCCTCGATGTTGAGCAGGTGGGGAACGTGGCGACGTCACGGCGACATCCGGGGGGTAACAACAAGTGATGTAACCAGAAATGTATAAACATATACCCTCTGGTAATTTAACATAGCTATTGAAAATGGCCATTTATAGTGGATTTTCCCACTAAAAATGGTGATTTTCCATTGCTATGTTAGTTTACCAGAGGGTACTGGTTGGTTTATAGGGATTCCCCGTTCTTGGATTATTACAAGCCCAATTTTTATCAATTTTTTGGGGGTAGTAGAATCCCCGAACTAATCATCACGTTTCCTCACGTTTCCCAAAGTCCCAGAGCTAATCATCAACCAACAGAGGTTTTGAACACTGCTCATATGGGTTCTACCATGTTTTACCTCAATATAGGGGTGACATGGAGTGACACCCACCTCTACTTGTATGGCTCGAGATATTTGTGGGCTCAACCACTGATGTACTGATTGCAGCTATCTTTTTTCCAAGGGCCGTGGAGGTTGATGGTATGTCCTGTGGGTTGCTGCCAACTGCTTTCATGGAGATTCCATGTTCGTATATATATATATATATACATATTATTATATATATATATTATATATATATATTCATATATTCAATATCTTGAAATTCACAATCCATGAAGTCCTCAAACAATGAAGAGCCTTTGGTACTCAAATATGGCTGGTCATTTCCTCATTTTCTTCGATGATGTTCCCATATTTTGCACAGAAAGATGCGGGGATTTCCCAGCCAGGCGTATACCTCGCTGAAGAACTGGCTACATGAGAAGACCTAAATCCAGACGCACTGGGCTCTAACGCCCTAGGGTTACAGGAGATTATACTACCCAATATATGGATATATATATATATGGATATATATATATATATATGAGGGATTATCATAATGAATGAACTAATGAACTGGGAATTCCTAGTAACAATGTTGAGTGTCCGAGGACTGGTGTCTTGTCGGCGAGCCCTTGCATCTGTCAGAGTCTTCTTTGATTAGCCCATGGTGCCAGTACAAACGTCGCATCTTATTTTGCCCATGGAGCTTCTAGCAGGCTCCCGTTTCACTGCTTGTTTCGCATGGTCGTTCGAGGGGACGATGAGGACCCCATGCACAGAGGGGCTGGCGGCAAAGGATGGCCTCGCAGGAAAGGGGAAGAGCAGATAGTTAGAGGTGATTTTATATCATTCATATGTGTGTACATAATGTGTAAATATATACATAATATATAACTATATACAGAGTATACAAATATATACATAATAAATATGTATATATATATATATATACAAGATTTGATGAACCATCCAACCCAGTGGTCACGTCAACTTTCCGTCCAATCCCGCTTTTGAGCTGATGGTTTAAGCTGCAACGTTACATGAACTTTTTAAGAGAGAGAGAGAGAGAGAGTCAGCTACAGCAAGGCAACATGTAGATAAACTGAAATGTACCTAAGAACGAGACCTTGTTTTAAAAAATACAAATAGCGAGGGGACTTGAAAACCACTGGATATCATTTGTGCTCTTCACCACGTCTCGGTTTCATGATTATATGATTACCAATAGATTCTCGCATTTTTGCCCTTTAAAGCAGCTAAGAATCGCAGCATTTCATGGTGATGTCTTTTTTGGATTTTTTTGGTCCAATGATTCCAATGGAACATCAACATACATCAGCCAGATTTGCACGATCCTGTGGGAGCCAAAACACCCAACGTCGCAAGCTCAGCGAGAAGAGTAGCTAACATCTGATAGATCTGATAAATAGTGACAGTTATTATGATTCATGTTATTGTTCCATTTTTATTATATTATTTCATATTGCATTATAATATATGATATATTGAATTATTTATTTCGTATTATATATATACATATATGATGTTATGTATTATGTAGGTATGTATGTATGTATGTATGTATGTATGTATGTATGTATAATATACATATATATATATATATCTTAGTCATGCTGGATTCCCCGTGTCTCCTGGGTGATGTTCTTAGGCCAAGCCCCGAAGGGGCGATGGGAAAGTCGGGACGACTCAGAATGACTAAGGGCGCCGCTGGCGTGAGGTGGATTGATGATAGTTATCTTATCATCGTTACCTAACAAAAATCATAGTATAACATATAGAAGTTTTGTTCATGGATTTATGATTTTATCATCCAACTATACTTCTTGTTATATTCTATTATTATTTTAAGGATAAATATAGCTGGATGATGTTGGATGATAGTTGTTTATTATAGTTCTTATAGTATCTTATTATTATAGTTGGATTATGAGTTATAAAAAACGTTACAGTCAACAGTCTGGATAATTTGTGAGTTTTCTATATCTCTTTTTGAGGCTTGCTATGAGGCTTTATTTGAGATGCTAAACTGGGGACTAAGAAGTAGGTATGGTGAATTATGGTCCTGGTGATGTAATGTGATGTGTGCTTTATGGGTTTCAAACAGCTGGAGGCGAAATGGAACAAACCATGCCGCGGTGGAAAACCGGTCCAACTTCATGGGCTTCATCTGTCCGAGGAAAAAACAGGCTGCAAAGTGTGCATCTCAGTTCATAGCAGCCATAGCATATGCTGATCAGCGTAGTGAACAAAGTTTGGGAATTGATCAAGGCTGATGGGGAGAGATTTCAATCTGCTTACCCTCATTAATCATTAAATGTCATGGCAAATCCCCGATTTAGAGATAGTTTTCCAGGTTTTTCCAGCTAGGCAAACCTGGGCTTTCCAGCATTTTCAAGCCACAGTTTCCAGCGGCTTTCCAGCGGCTGGCCGGGCTTCGCTGGCTTCGTGGCAGGCCAACAACCTTTTATGACTCCTTGGTCGAAATGACCGCGATCAACTTCGAAGAGTTGGCCGAAGAAGAGAACTGGGAGGTGCATCGGATCGGGTCGCATCAGGGTGTGATGTCGAGTTCTCAATGATGTTGATTTGATGTATATAGTATATCTATGATATTGTATGATCAGTAGTTTATATACAGTGGGTATGTCTACATATATAATTATATATATTTGTATATGATTCAAACTTGTATATGGTTATGATTTACAATGATCCATCCCGTTCCGGCGCAGACCATGAGCCAACTGGAGCGGAAGATGACCGAGGCTCGTGTAGCCTTTGATGAGCAGAAAGTCCAGGCATGGCGGTGGCGGCCGGCGGCGGCCGGTGGCTCGTAGTGCTTGAGATCTTCGGGAGATTTCATGGTGATTATGGTTTGTAGAAGGGGTATATATCATGATCAATCATACATGTATCTGAATTATATAGGTATTGTATATATATATATATATGTATATATGTATATATGTATATATGTATATATGTATATATGTATATATGTATATATGTATATATGTATATATGTATATTGTAATTTTCACATTTGATTCTAACCATCCGGTCACGGTCATGCCTTGAGGACATCAACAATCCAGACCCTGTCAGGTATCAAAACAACACTGCCTTCGGAAGGCATTTTCGGCTCTGGGAGCTAGGCAGCGGGTGGGAGGGTTTTCTCCATTGCCTTTTAGCCATAGTGGTTGCATAGCAGACAGGGTCTGCAATTGGTGCCATTCCTATCTTGAAAAGGACGAGGCCGTCCCCGGATTCTTGGTAAGTGGCCTGTGGCCAAAGGCTATTCATAAGACAGTGGATTCCGCTGGACTTTGCAACGAGCTGGGAAAACTGACTGAGTGCTTTGGGAAGCTTGTGGTCAGGGAACAGTTTTGTATACAGCAACATCATTTTGGACATTTTGTCTACTCTACTGATTTTTGCTCCTGCCAATCACATTGGTAGCGGAGCTGCCAAACCGCAGCATCCGGGAAGATGGAAACAACAAGCGGTGGTGATGGTAGCAGCAGTACAGTCACTAATCAGTTGGCTTCACTGGTGCCATCATTCGATCCGTCAAAGGATGACATGCGACAGTATCAACAACGGGTGGAGCTTGTCACAGCAGCCTGGCCTAAAGGCCGGTACACTGAGCTGGTCACAAGGCTCATACTGAATTGTTCAGGCAGCGCATTCGCCAAGCTGCAGCTGAACCATCAAGAGCTGTTGGCCAATGAAGAGAAGAGTGTACATAAGCTGGTCGAGTTGTTAGGTGGGTCATGGGGCAAAGTGGAACTCGAGAATCAGTACGATGATGCTGAACAGGCATTGTTCAATACGGTTCAGAGGGGAGACGAAAGTCACGACTCATATCTGGCCCGTGCTGATGTGGCATGGAGCCGGCTTCTGAGCAGACGTTTGACCCTCGAGGAGCTCCAAGCCTACATTGTCCTCAGAGGCTCAGGACTGACACCCGAAGAGAAAAAGCGTGTGATCTTAGATGCAGATCAGAGTTCATCCGGAAAGCTGACCATGAAACGTGTGCATGAAGCAGTCCGCCTTCTGGGCGCATCGTTTTTCATGGACATGACAGGTCAGAAAAGAAACAATCGTACGAAGGTGTATACACAGGAAACTCTGGTGGCTCAAGATGACCAGGAAGAGCCAGAGGATCCGACCTTTTGGACGAACGATGAAATGACGGATGAAGATTACATTGACTCATTGGTTCAAGCTGGCGATGAGGATGCAACATTGGTCGCTGACTTCGAAGAGGCAGCGGCAGAAGCTCTTCAAGAAGATCCCAGTCTGTCCAGTGCCTATACGGCGTATCAAGATGCTCGCCGACGCCTTGCTGAAAAGGCCCGGAACCGTGGATTTTGGGCGGTGTCCAAGAACCCCACATATCCTGGCAACTCCAAGGGGAAACAGAATTTTTCCAAAGGGGGTTCAAAGGGCAAGTATGGTTTTTCAGGAGGCCGTGGTCGACGATCATTGCAGGATCGAATCATGAATTCTCACTGCCGGATATGTGGTCGTAAAGGCCATTGGCGGGCAGAATGCCCACAAAAGGGTCAAAGTAGTCAATCAACTGCAGCCGGATCAGCCACCAGCACATCCATGCCCACCACCAACGTGGTGCCTGTGACGGAAGAGGGAGTTGATGCACTGCCGCTGGAATTTCTCCAGATTCCCGTCGTGCATGAATCCACCCTGGATGAGGAGACCAATGCCACTGATGTGCTATTTTGTAGTTGTTTAATGGGTAACCCATCACCACCAAAGTATCCTTTGGGGAGGTTGCTTAATGTTGATAGGAGCCCAAGTCAGAATAATCCCAATGAGAATGACATGTGTTTCATGAGACCCTCCATGAGCCAATTGCACAACACCCTCCGCAGGAGAGCCAGTGAGCAGTCCAATCGGTGTCGCAATAAGCTTAGGAGTCGTGTCCAGCGTCAGTCAACAGACCAGGTCTCGTCGCAAGTCCGCGTAGGTCTCCAAACTGCCAGTGTCCAGAATAAAGTCCATAAGTCTCAAGTCACTCCAGTTGTAAGCATGAACCATCCACAGGCTGAAACCTTAGATGATGTCATTTGCTTTGCAACCCATGGAACCCATGGGGTACTGGACCTTGGAGCATCCAAGACGGTCATTGGCAGTGAGTTCGTGCCGAGCTTAATTCAGGGACTTCAAGAATGCATCCCTGGAAAAATCCGCAGGTGTTCGTGCCGCATCACATTTAGGTTTGGCAATCAGGGGACACTCACGTCAGAACAAGCACTTGTCATACCAATCGGAAAGTTAATGCTGAAGGTAGCCATTGTTCCAGGTCGAACACCTTTTTTGCTGAGCAACTCGTTGATGCGTGCCTTGGAAGCCCGCATTGATTGTAGCACATATACCCTTACGAGTCCCATGTTCACCAAGAAAGTTCCATTGGATCTCACCAGCCGAGGTTTGTTTTTGCTTGATGTTTGCAAACTCATCCGTAGTGCCAGTGCAAGGGACGTCAAGGGTCAAGTGGTTGCTGCAGAGACCGGTGTCGAGACCCACATTGCCCACGAGGAAGAAAGTCGCCGCTCAGTCAGTGAACAGGGTCAGCCAACCAACAGTGTCCAAACAGACAGTCAGTCAAGTGCCGAAGCCAATAAGGGTCCCATAAAGGGGTTAGACTCAGATAATCTGGATAAAGGGGATAAGGTAAAGGGTGTAATTGCCTCCAGTGTTCAGCCTGCCATCCACTCGTCCAGTGAGTACCAAAGGGTTTCAGTCGCACAGCATGTCAACAAATGGAACATCGTCACACAGACGTCGCCAGATCGAGCACACCCACAGGTTGTGGTTCAAGATTCGCCCAGTGAAGGCCCCTCTCATAGATCAATCGCAGAGAGTCATGTCCAATCAATTGACGCTGAGCCAGAGGTTGAAGAATGCGCGAGAGCAGGACGGGAGGATCGAAGTGGAAGCCATGACGATGGCACAGCTGTCGAAGGAGCGAGTGACATTCGGAGCCAAGTATGTCAACTACACATACCAGCACATGTGGGACAATCATCCCGACTGGATTCAGTTCATGGTGGATCGCTATGCCACCAGCGAGAAGAAGGACCATCAGAAGCTGATGCGATTCGTGAATCTGAAGCTGGAGTGTGTGGAAAATGCTCAGGATCAGATGCCAGTCATGCCAAAGGGAAGCCAGTCCCGAGGATCGCTGGGACAACAGGCAAAGTACAAGGCAATGCCCCGGCCCAAGGCAAAGGCAAAGGGGTATTCGATTTTTCAGGGATTAGTCGAAGATCACACCTTCGAACTGCCTATCAGCGACCAGTGGGAGGAGGACTTCGAGGACGTCGATGCAGCACACGAGTCGTTCTGCCCGGAGATTATGACGGACGAATCGACTCACCAGAATGCCGAGGTGATGCAGTCCAGGATCACCAACATCGAGCAGGCTCTCCATCAGGTCATTCGACATCTGGAGAATCCCATGCCCAACAACCAGGGCGACCATCACTTGGACCCGAACTTGTGAGAGTGGATAATCTAACGGATCCGTGCCTGTCAGCCAGCCATGAGACGAACCGAGTGCATTCGATCATCCAACAGATCACTAAGGAATTGCAAAGAGTGTTGTCTAGGACCAAACCCATTGGTAAAGCATACACGTTAGCTGAGGTGTTTTGCAGCAGCCGGTCACCACTGACACAACAGGTCAATGCACTCGGACAGAAAGCAATTCGGTTTGGCTATGATCAAGGAGACCTTGCCACAGTGGAAGGTCGGGTTGCCCTGTTTACACAAATAGCAGTTCACCGCCCAGAACATGTGTGGTTCAGTCCTACATGTGGTCCTTGGTCATCGTGGACAAACCTGAACATGTCTCGGTCTCTTGAACATTTTCATGAGTATCAACAGCAAAGGGAACAACTTCTGTACCAAATAGCTTTGGGGATTGTTTTATGTAGGCACCAAATAAGTCATGGGAGACACATGCATTGGGAGCAACCGGGCCGATCACTCATGTTGCGTCTGCCTTGTATGCAAGAGATCCATAGCTACACTCAAGCGTGTCAGTTCGACATGTGCCGTGCTGGAAACTTGGTAGACCCGGTGTCTCACATGTACATTCGCAAGAGCATGGTGTTACTGACCACCTCCAGGAAAATGTATCATCGATTTCATGGCCTGACTTGTCTAGGAAATCATGAACATCAACCAATTGAAGGGTCAGTCATGCATGGACAACACCGTGTCCTGAGAAGCCAGTACACAGAGGTATACCCTCGCAAGTTTGCCCGTGCCACCGCTCAGATCATGTGCCACAACAAATTCGAAAGGCCAATGCACTGGAACCTTATTTGGCCTCTTTTGAATGCTGAACGCAACAGTCCCTGCGGATCAGACGAAGCTCTGGTCACAGAGCCAAAGCGCCCAGCTGACAAGTTCCCAAAATCCGAGTTGCTGACACCAGTCCCACTGCAGGAAGCTGATCCCAAACGTAGAAGAGTCGAGGGTAAGCAAGCCCCAGTCCTGTGTCAAGAACTTGTCCAGGAAGTCATAGATCAGGTGGACAAGGTGTTGCCTAGAGTTGGTAGGATGCAAATCACCAGTCCCAGTCTGTTGAGAGGGATCAGCAACATTTTTCCTGACAAGGACATAGTGCAGATCATTGCATGCCGCGGTACCGACCGAACAGTGGGACCACCAACTGAACTACATAGAGATGAGGCCCCATATCGTAGATCAATAATGTTGATGCGTAACACTGGAGAACTCAAAATCGAACGATATTGGGAAAAATGGAATCAGTTATCTCAGAGACAACTTGTTAGACCAGCCCATTCATGTCGGATCAACATCACAGTGTTTGCACGTGACCGATATCCAGAAAGACGCACAGGAACAACCAAGACACCAGAAGAACCCTCCAGCAGCTCAACAGATCAACAGGTAGCCAGAATAGACAGTGACCCCACTGTGCCAATGGATGACACGAGGAATCCACCAACTGTACAGCCTAGCGAGGTGCGAGCCAGTGAACAATCGGCCCAATTCAAAGCTTTGTCAAGTTGGGATCAAAATATGATCATTCGAATGCACAAGAACCTTGGTCATCCAAGCAATGATCGTCTCTCAACAGCTTTGAAGCAAGCTGGGTATCGCCCTGAACTCGTGCAGGCTGCCAGCGAACTCCAATGCCAGGTTTGTCAGTCCAGCGCAATCCCAAAACACCAAAAACCAGCGACATTGAAGCCAAGCATGGATTTCAACTCCAAAGTGTACATTGATAACGTGACATGGACCAGCCAAGCAGGTAAATCCTATCACTTTTATCACATGTTGGATGCGGGGTCAAATTTTCATGTGGCCATAATAGCCCCTGGTGGAACAACAACAAGTGTCGTAAATATCATTCAACAACATTGGATGAGTTGGGCTGGCCCCCCAAATGAAATCATGTTTGATGCCGGATCAGAATTCCTCAGCACCGAATTCACTGAATTCTTGAACAAGTTTGGGATTAAGGACATCGCTGTGCCTCCAGAAGCTCACTGGCAAAACGGAAAGATCGAGAGACATGGGGGCTTTCTACAAAGCATGCTGTCCAAAGTGGATAAGGAACATCCCATTACTAATTATGAAGAACTTCAGGTATCATTGAACCAATGCACACATGCGAAAAATACATTGAGCATTCGTCATGGGTACAGCCCTGAACTCATAGTATTTGGCAAGCATTCACGATTGCCTGGTTCAATTCTTAGTGATGAGTCTCTGCCATCCCATACACAAGCCCTCCAAGAAGATGAAAACCTCACGCCTCAGAGCTTCAAAAGGCTACTGGCCATCCGAGAGGCCGCACGCCGGGCATATCATGTGGCCGACAACTGTGACGCTTTGCGTCGTGCCATGTTGAGCAGATCCTGTCCATCCCGAGGAACATACGCTCGTGGTCAACATGTCATGATTTGGAAATCCAATATAGGTGGTAATCCCCAATGGATAGGACCCCATAGGGTTATAATCCAAGATGGTAACCATACCGTATGGACCACCCAAGCCGGAAAGTTGTTTAGAAGGGCCCCGGAACATGTAAGACCTGCGCTGCCTGAAGAAGTCACTTCCTCACCGGAAGAACCATGTGAGTGGTCCACACTGGAACAACAGATCCAGAGAATGTCCCGGTCCGTGGATGAAATTCCCACAGATCAGCCGCCCATGTCTGAAACTTCCATGCCCAATGCAGGAAATCCTGAAAACCAACCACCAGGAAATGTGTCGATGGAAAGAGAGGTAAGTGTGCCAGAAACAGTACCACAGCCAGATCATGAACCCGAGCATAGCCAAGTAACCCCACCCGAAATCTCATCAGAAGAAGATAGCTCCCTGGAAGTAGTTGGATTGTATTGTGAGGATGATGATACATATGAAGATGTGCTCTATGCCCAGGAAGACACTGCCTGGAGATGTGAAATAGACATATCATTAGACCAATCTCTACGGGATCATCAACCTTCTCTTGAAGAGTCATGTGTATTGCTGGCAACCAATGCCAAGAAACAAAGAACGGAAGTTAAACTAAGCACCCTATCCCCAAGTGAAAAAGCAGAGTTTGAAAAAGCAAAACTAGCTGAAATTCAAAACTGGATTCAGACGGGAACCATCTCAAGGGTATTCAAAGATCAGATTTCCCCCGAACAGATCCTCAGGTGCAGATGGATTTTGACGTGGAAGCCAATAGATAACTCTAATAGCCCCACCGATAATCCCCAGATACCTATCAAGACGCACAAGACGAAAGCAAGGTTAGTAGTGCTGGGCTACCTGGACCCCAAGATTGAGGAGATCCCTCGCGACTCACCAACGTTGAACAAAACATCAAGGATGCTGATCCTCCAAGTCATTGCAACAATGGGTTACACCCTGCAATCATTTGATATAAAGGCTGCATTCCTTCAGGGACAACCCCAATCATCGAGACTCATGGCCATAGACCCAGTCCCCGAAATGCGCAAAGTCATGAACTTAGCTCCAAATGAAGTCGCCCGACTCAATAAAGGGGCCTATGGACTTGTTGACGCACCATATCTCTGGTTTTGTGCTTTGCAGGAAGAGCTTCTCAGGTTGGGATTCGAAACATGTCCTTTTGACCCATGTGTTTATATACTCCGGGAAAAAGAGCATGGCAAAAGCACCAACAGAATTGCTGGAATCCTAGGAGTCCATGTTGATGATGGCATTGGGGGGGGTAATGACTATTTCAAACAACAGATAGCTGCCCTTGAAAAGAAATACCCATTTGGTTCCAAAAAGACTACTGCGTTCACCTTTACAGGGATTGATTTGCAACAAAGAGGTGACCACAGCATAATACTAAGCCAATCTGCCTATGTACGGAAAATTCCTGCAATCAACATCGAAACGAACAGAAAGACCATGGACCAAGAGCCCGTCACCGAGAAAGAACGCCTGTTGCTCAGAGGCCTGATCGGAAGCTTGCAGTATGCCTCGGTAAACACCAGACCTGACATATCAAGCAAGTTGTCAATCCTCCAATCACAGATCAATAAGGCCACGGTGGGCGTACTCCATGAAGCAAACAAAGTTCTCCATGAAGCCAAGAAACATCACGACGTCCAAGTAACAATTAAACCAATCCCTATGAATGATTTTCGACTGATGGCATTCTCAGATGCATCCTTTGCATCGGTTCATAAACCTGACTCACACTCCGGTGTCATAATCGTAGGAACCCATAAGAAAATTGCCGAAAATCATCAATGTCCTATAAGTCCCATATCCTGGGGTTGCAAGAAAATACAGAGAGTAGTGACTAGTACTCTTTCCGCTGAAACCACAGCACTTGCATCTTCCTTGGATCAGTTATCATGGATTAGACTGTATTGGGCATGGCTGAAGGATCCTCAAGTATGCTGGAAACAGCCTGACAAGAGCCTGTCAACTCTCGAGCCGGCAATCGCTGTACCAACCTTGCAACATGAGTGTGATCTCGCAATCACTGATTGCAAAAGCCTGTACGACCTTGTAACAAAGACCGCTCCACCCCAGTGCTCTGAATTCAGGGTGCAATTAGTGGCACGAGCCATAAAGGAAACCATCAAGGAAGGCATACAGGTAAGGTGGGTTCACTCAGCCGCTCAACTTGCGGACGCGCTCACAAAGTCTATGGAGTCAAAGTTTTTGAGGGAAACACTGCGGTACGGCGAATACCGACTCGTGGATGAAACATCGACTCTTCGAAACCGTGCACTTTCCAAAGATCGGATCCGATGGTTGAAAGAGCATCAGGAATCAAATGAATGTTCCAAAGCCTCAAAAGAATAATTTTTGGGAGTGTAATTTTCACATTTGATTCTAACCATCCGGTCACGGTCATGCCTTGAGGACATCAACAATCCAGACCCTGTCAGGTATCAAAACAACACTGCCTTCGGAAGGCATTTTCGGCTCTGGGAGCTAGGCAGCGGGTGGGAGGGTTTTCTCCATTGCCTTTTAGCCATAGTGGTTGCATAGCAGACAGGGTCTGCAATTGGTGCCATTCCTATCTTGAAAAGGACGAGGCCGTCCCCGGATTCTTGGTAAGTGGCCTGTGGCCAAAGGCTATTCATAAGACAGTGGATTCCGCTGGACTTTGCAACGAGCTGGGAAAACTGACTGAGTGCTTTGGGAAGCTTGTGGTCAGGGAACAGTTTTGTATACAGCAACATCATTTTGGACATTTTGTCTACTCTACTGATTTTTGCTCCTGCCAATCACAGTATATATGTATATATGTATATATGTATATATGTATATATGTATATATGTATATATGTATATATGTATATATGTATATATGTATATTATATATATATATACAGAGTCATCCTGGAGTAGAGGGAATATGGAATTTCCTGAAAAATCATCATTAAAATTGCAATATCATTGAAATCCCGTATTCTATCTACTCCAGGATGATAACATATATAGTGGTTGATATGATAAGGATATATGATGATTTATGCGGATGTATATATGACGATTTTTCGATCATCATGGATACAAGGATCATATCCCCAATAATGAGTGGTAAAGAATGGACAATAAAAAATGTGTCTCTAGTTCCAACAAATCCAATTGGAGTTGTTAATAGCATGGGGGATATGTAATGACAATGACTGATGGTTTATATACTGCGGATGCACAACGATTCAACGGTTGTATGTCATGGTTGATACAGTGAGGATAGAATGATTAATGACTGGGATTTCCAAGCTTGGTTGAGATGATTTTCTTTATAGCTCATGGACAAAAAAGTAAAGACATGGTTGATAAATGTTGGTAATGATGACCGTTTTATGGTTCTAGTGTTCGCTATCTATGACGTGGCAAACATCATTTATAGGGTCTTCACCATCAGATGGGGATCTATAGAATTGAGATTCATGATGGTTGGTTGATGGTTGCAGTTTGGTTGCTTGTGTGTGTAAAAAAAGCCACTGGAGATGTGTGTTTTACCAGTAAAAACTGTGAGATTTTCTGGAAATTTGTGGCAGTGGGACGTGGGATGACATTTCTTCAACACTGGAACTGGCTTCAACTGGGACTTTTTGGGCAAAACACTGGGGCTTCAACTGAGGATCTAATGGGGATATAAGCAGGTATATAGCTGGATAAATATATATATATACATATATAATATTATATAATATGTTGGTTCATATCCGCACATGTCTTGGTTTACGTCGCACATATTGACATCCTTTTTTTGACAAGTCGTCAACCCCTATGTTTTGATCATAAAAGCCAGGCAAATTCAGGTTTGCTGCAACCAATCCTGGCAAATGATTATGTTTCGCCATTTGTTCCTGCTGGTATCTACTGGTGCCGGCAGTTGCAGCGGTACTTGAGGCGGTTGTGTCCCGCACTGATGAGAAATAAAAAAACAGCTGGGCTCAATGTTTTATAATATTCTAAGATATGCTGTAATATTCTATGATATTCTATTTTGATCACTCCATTTCTCCATGGTTGTTGACGTTCCATCGTATGATTGCACCTTTGAGCTGGTCGCAGTCTGCAAGTTCTGCAGGAACGGGCCGCCAGACAAGAAGCGCGAAAAGCTCGAGAAAAGAAGATCCGGGCAAAGAAGCAAGGCCCCCGAATTCAGTTTGGGAAGTTGGGGAGATGAACCTCCATTAATCCCAGCTATAGTGTGAACCGAAGGATACTCGTACCATGGTTTTGACCCATATCCGTTCTGCCCAGTTTTCATGTTACGTGAAAAAAAATGGCAACAGTTTGCTGCCTGGTAAACAAGCACGGCATTGGAAAACCATCCTCAATATGTAGATGACTGATCTTTTAAACACCTGAATATGTTGTTGCCCTTTGCCATGTAAAATCAGAGAATACTTCCTGGCAATCTATATAACAAAAATCCTTCATTGATACAGTATTCATTTCTGAATGATTCTACCATCAACTTCCCAACAAGCCATGTCTAATCACCAGAAGGATCCAGAAGGTAAATTACAAAAAATGTTGGGCGGCGCAGATAATATCAATCACATTTGTTGGGTAGTAAGTAGTTAATTTTTGATTTTTGAGAGTTCTTGAAGGCAAGTGGGTTTCACACCAGAAATATGCAAGCCGCAGCCTTTTTTCGCCCGCATGCGGTGCTCACCCTTTTGTATAGATCGTTTTATTTGGGAACTACAATTGACTTTCCTATCGATGGACGTCTCCATCATCATTAATGAACACCAACCAATATATAAACCATTCAGCATGGTTGGTTCACCTTTGAATGGGGTATATTATTTAGTGGTCACCTATGAATGAACCCCAGTGCAACATCTCCAGTTTTCTCTTCCACTTTGGGGATATCGTCCCCAAGTTTTGGTTTAATTTCCGCCATGTTTTTCGGCGAAGGCGGCGAAAACATCTCGGGTCCCTTCTGGAGACCCTGCGGAGTGCCACAGGAGGCGAGAGGTGAGTTGTGGTGTGTTGACACCGGAATTTGATGTGACCATTAGATTTAGATATCATTAGTCACTTGTTTAGAATCTGAAGTAGTGGTAAACAAAATCCATTTTATAAATGTTGATTAGTTAACTTAATGTTGAAAACATGTGAATGTTCAGCTGCAATATTTTTTCCATGGCAAAAAGTCACTAACTTGTACAACCATGTACAACCATGTACAACCCATTTCTGGCAACATTGTTGTGAAAAAAGTGGGAGGCAGTTCGTCAAAATTACCACATTTCAAGTCACATTTCGAGTCACATTTCACCAAGTTTGAAGGAAATAATTAGCAGATCCACGAATTTAGATATTGGGAGAAATGGTGGCTCTGGATTCATGGTAACTTCATCTATTTTTTGAATCCACGGTTCCTTTGGAACAGAAAAAAATGGTGAAGGAAGCATCCAGCAGTCATCTAACCTTAGGGTGAAACGCACGATGAAGCACCGATAATAGCCGATTTCTGACTCATAGCCTTTGAATAGAAATCACCTCGCGCCTCGCACACTTTGAAACATGTTGAACCCCCATTTTTGTACATGTTGAACCTGTCTTTACCCAGTTTTTCTTGACAATTTAGAAGGCGTTGCGCAACTCCCGTCGAATCTATTTCAGACAGCTGGCACCAGCAACTTGCAACCAACCACAGCTCAGGGCATGATGATTGCCTTGATTGGCAATGATGTAGATCAAAAAAGGGACCAATGTCAAAACAAAACAAGCCAAGTTACTCTGCTAGTGGCGCGCGGGCACACACAGAACTTGTTTTTTCCAGGTGACCGGCCGGGGGAGCGTCGTGAGCGCCGGTTGCAGTGCACACCCCATATTCACCTGGCTCCTCTGAGCCAGTAAACAACACACAGGTATCAACCTGCTGTGGAAAGTTTGAAGCAAGTATCACTATCGCATGCTGTCTAATGACCCAAAAATCACAAATCAAAAACTAATCGTCACTGTACTGGAGGCGTTTGGCAACGCCATCGGGGATCACAGAATCACATCTTGCAAAACCGGATTTGGTCGGCATTGGGCTGTCCAGCAATTTTCTGACAAATCGTCTGGTGCTGGCAAACCTCTTTTCTGGTCCTAAAAACCAAAAACAAAGCATCAACCCTGTGGTAGATGAAGCTGTTAAAATCGGAATGCCTGTCAAGGCTTCAATGGCATTCGAAACATGCCTCTCTTGCCACGCAAGGATGTACAAAGCTTCGCAATATCTGAAAGGCCTGTAAAAAATGGAGGGGATCCACCCTGCAAAATCTACATGGCAGCCTCCACAATACATAGGTAGAAAAGACCAGATAGCCAACCAAATGGAAATGCCACCCAAGATGAACAACAGCCAGCTATGATCCCGACCCAATCTCTGGGATGGAAAAGCTCAGGCAGAGCGGAGCTGGAGCTGCGCAACCACATCCCGCACAATCTCTTGCCGGCTACGGGGGAGCTGCTCATTGGGACAGAACTGTTTTAGCAAAGCCTTGACCTCTGCCACCGGGAGGGCTGAAAGCTGGTCACTAACATTCTGCCAGCTTGAGCAGCTCGAGGGGTCACTAAGGAGCTGCTTCACACCAGTCTCCTGGAAAATCTTTGATTCTGCCACAATGACTCGACAAGTCTTCGGGGTGAGAGGATCTGCAGAACTGGTCCTGTCTGTACGGGGGAGTTTGGGAGAACTGGCTTTGTGTCCTGGCACAGCTCTCTCTGCCTCCACCGCAGCACGGACCTCGGCTCGCAACTTGTCCATTTCAGCCTGACGACGAAACTCCAGCAACTCCTTCTTTTCCTCGGCAGAAAGGGTTCCAGAGCTGCCTTCAGACCGGCGGGGTTCGCTCTTGCTCTTCTTGTCCCGCTTCTGCTTTCTGGCCTTCTTGTCATTGGGCGACGAGCTGGAGGAAGACGAGGACGAGGACTTCTTCTTAGAGCGCTTCTTCTTCTTCTTCTTTCCTTTCACTGCCTCTTCCACTAGCATTTCTAGTTTGTCCAACCGGCCATGCAAGCCACTACGGTCTTGACTTCCTTGCCAACCACCATAGCCACCACGGTCACGCCAGCCATGGGTCTGCTTCCGCGACCTGCTAGGGTACATTGACAGCACCGGGGACACAAAGACTGCCACCAAGAGCAGCCACAGGTAGCAAGCCATGGCAAACGGCACAGCGGGCAGGCACGAGACAACTGGGCACGGACTACAGTGACTACAGGGGTACACCGAACGAGCAAAAACAATGCAACGACCAAGCAAGTCACCAAAGAAAAACAAATTAGTACGCGCCCATGCCCAAATGCTAGCAGAGAACGAGGCAAACACACTT